AATAAATGTTAAGTTCATTGTTTATGACATCATTTATTGAAAAACAATTTGTTGAAATTAGCAACATTTAAACTTTAGAGCAAAATTCCCATGAACTATTTGAGAAGCTATGGATATGAATACTTTTGTAGAAAAAGCACTTTTTCATTAAAATGGATACTAAAAATGATTTTAGATTTTAACCGTATGTTGAATTACAGAGAGCCGATAGTAGGCAGATAGTATGCAGTTATCATTTTTTAGACCTCATTACCATCATCTGGTGCAGGGGTGTCAAACTCACATTGTCAGGGCGGCACTATGTGACCTATTGGGACTTTTTTCCCCTTCGCTAAACTGGGTGTGGCTGTGGCCAGCACATGACACATCCGCCCCGTGGGCTGGGAGTTTAACAGCCCTCTAGTGGCTTCTCGATATTTGCAGTTAAGATATGGAAGATCTATACTACACTGTGTTGAATAAAATAACTAAATGTTCAGGTTGTGGGAAATGTTACTGTCAAAAGTGTATAAAATACAAGTGTATGAAATGCATTCTGTATTCTCATCTTTTCTCAGTGACCAATCGGATGTCCATGGAAAGCCCAAATACTAGAGAGAAGTGCAAAACACCTTTCTGCTCATGTTCTAATGCAACTGAGATAGAGAGGCATCCCAAAACTTATACCAGAGGTAATATATAGCATTCATGATGGGGAGCCATCAATAGATCAACTGTCCCGAAATTCTCACTACTCTTTTAAAGATATCCAAATTACAGTAATGGCCAACTCCACATCACCATATTGAATTCTGTGTTCTGTTGTTTAATTATGGTCATAAAGTGATATACTAGGTTTCAATTTTAGCTTGACCTTACAGGTAGTCCTCAATTTATGACCACAATTGAGTCCAAAATTTCTGTAGCTAAGCAAGACATTTGTTAAGTGAGTTTGGGCAAATGTTAGGATCTTACTTGCCACAATTGTTAAGTGAATCACTGCAATTGTTGAATCAGTAACACAATTGTTAAGTGAAGCTGGCTTCTGCATTGACTTCATTTGCAAGAAGATTGAAAAAGATGATCACATGACCCAGGGACACTGCATTGGTCATAAGTATGAGTCAGTTGCCAAGCATCTGGCCATGGAGATGCAGCAATGGTCATAACTGTAAAAAAAAGATCAAAAGTCACTTTTTTTCAGTGCCATTGTAACTTTGAATGATCACTCAATGAACTGTTGTAAGTTGCGGACTACCTGTATTGATTTGAATAAACTCAGCCAATGTAATTTACTAAATAATGCTTTATGGATACTGTTGAACACAATCTGGTCTTTCAATAAATGATTAAGCAACTGGGTTAGCACCGTAAGTAAACCAAACCTGTGTGCTATGCATATAATATATCTTGAATCTCACTATTTATCTATCTTAGCTAATTTTAACTTCAATATTATCAGAAACAGAATAAATCCCCCCCCCCTTTTAGTTTAAGGAATTAAGGCAGATTAGATATCATGAGTTAATATTCATCAGAGATAACTTGAGTTGGTCTTATATATGATAAAAATATCAGATAATTAACACAAGCAAAATCTCAAAACATTAAATGATGGATTAAAATCTGGAATAACTTTTCTTGAAAAGACATGTGCTTTATGTTCCATTAGATGTGGAAAAAACCATGAGAGATTTAATTACAAATAAATATTTGGTATGTTGTGACAATTACTGGACATAGAATTGGATTGGTTTCTTTATGTATGTATAATTCCTTATCTATTTTTTTATATATTTTTCATAGGTTTATATGCTGCTCCAATAATCAATTGATTCTGAGAAGCTTATGTAAATGAAAATTTAAATGTCATCATTATAAGTTTTATGTCTTAGTTCTCATTGATCTTTTTCATAAACAATAAAACATCTATTCCCAACAGAACTAATGTTTTCTACCAAATATATATGAATATCCATTAGGTAAAAAGCATTATGTTAATTCAGCCTGGAGATTCATGTCATCTTTTCATTGATATATTTCAGTCATGGAAGGCACTAAACAGATGAACAGCAAATCAAACACAGAGAGCAAAATATCTAGTTCTCACTTGGACGGTGTGACTGTTTCAAAAGTATTAGTCAGAGATGAAGAGAAGTCCAAGAATGTAACACAAACATTCACCACTGCTAACGCTTCCAGCTCTTCAGGGCTTTCATCCAGACCAGAAAAGACTGAAAAAATGGATTTGTCGCGCAGGAATTTTGTTGTCACTAAAGAAGCATTTACATTTTCTCAGGCTCCTACAGGTAAATAAAGAAAATCCTTGTTTCTTCTGGATTTCAAGCCTTGCTAAGGCTACCTGGGATAAAGATAACATGAAAATATTTGAGGTGGATATTAAACAAGAAAATGTGATAAAAAACAAGCAGTTTATTGAAAAAGATGAAGTCACTAGGAGATGAAGATGAATGAAATAATTGCATCTTCTTTAATGGGACAATAAAATCTAGTTTGAAGTTGGTTCTAGTCCAGAATAATATGTATGACAAAGTTTAAAGCATGAGGGCAGACTGAGTTATTATTTTGTAAAGCATTAAAGATAATACTAATGCGTACATTAGATTTCCTATTACAAGTTTTAATTTGAAAGAGATGGCACTGATTATTGGGAAAATTTCTGAGAAACTGTAATAATTGACATTAAGGAAACAAAGTCCTGTTTATAAGGTTAGAGAAAAACATTTCACCTGTACTATGGTAATAGATCAGAGAACTGTACTAATAATATTGCTAGTTGTTTGTAATAAAATTATCCATTCACTAATTCTTCTAAATAAATATGATTATAGTAAATCATGAAAGAAGTGTTTAAAAGTTGACACATTTTAATCTTAAATTGGTTTAAAAGATACATGTTTTTTACCTTGTCAAATTCTCCGGAACATTGATTATTAAAATAGTACTTTTCACTAAAAATAAGCTATTCTGAAAAAAAAAGAGACTGTATAATATAAATGTAAAGCTTTAATTGTTGCTAGTACTGTTGGTATAATGAAATTAAGATAAAAACAATTGGGGCTAATTTACCATACCCAACAATAACTATTTTCAGATTAGAACCATGTTCTAATTTTTTATACATACCTTTTAAAACATTGATAGATTTCCTAAGCTGTTCTGTTGTTCTCCAGTTTGACATTCATGCAATCTTACAATACATTTGAAAAGACAAATGTGATCATCCTGATAGCCACACTTTTAGACCATGGTGGAAATTTTACTTCCACCAAACATAAAATGGCATGTTGCATTCTCATGAAAGCACACTATGTAGATAAATTTACCAGGCCCAGTGCATTAGAGACAGAGCGTACCAAAGAACTTACAAGAGGTTGGCAGTAAGATGAGGTATTGAACAGGTAATATTTGTATGGATAGGTATTCTATCCCTTTTTGCTTTTGTTATCTATCACATAACTTTGAGACCTTAAATCGTTTCTTTATGTGGATTTTAATGAGTGGCATTTTCGTGGGCTTTCCAGAAAGTAAATAAAAACTTGTTTGGGTTCTTTGCAACTGTATGGATTAGAATAGGATAGGGATAGGGATAGAATAGAATGGAACAGGACAGAACAGAACAGAATAGAATTTGGAGGTCTTCTAGTCCAGGCCCCTGCTCAAACACCTATACCATTTTAGATAAGTGACTGTCTAGACTCTTCTTAAAAATATCCAGTGATGAAGCGCCCATGATTTCTGTGGGCAAGCTGTTCCACTGGTTAATTGTCCCCACTGTTAGGAAGTTTCCAGGTTCTCCTCTCTTTGGTTAGTTTCCAACCATTGTTTCTTGTCCTGCCCTCTGATGCTTTGGAGAATAATTTGACCCCCTCTTCTTTGTGGCAGCCCCTCAAATACTATAATGCTGCTATCATGCCCCCCCCCCCCAATTAATTTTCTACTGCATTTCAGAACAGAACGGTCAGCAACAGAGCAACTCAGATATGGAGAGCATTGCTTCTAACTTTTACACAGAGAACACTGACAGAAGTGTGAAGAAGATAATACAGACTCTGGGGTATACCAGTAGTTCTTACCGTCCAGAGTCAATATCCACAGCTTCTCAGAGTGAAATACCCAGCGGTTCAGCTCTTACTGATTCTTCTTCTGTGTTGACTCCAGTTCAAACCAGACAAAAAGATTTATCACCTGGGTTCACCAATGTCATGGAAGCAGAAAGTACACATCCTTGGGATTCTTCACAAGCAACAGGTAAAAATTAGTTTTTTTGAGGAGTTTCAGAACCTTGTCTAGTATCAAGATAAAAACAAAATGTCACAATTACACATTAAGTGTGAAAAAAAGGTTGGGATGTTTAACTGGAAGCAGCTAAGCAGCTAAGACATTTGAAGGTGAAGTTCATTAAACATATGCTGGTTTTTTAATTATTATTATTTGCAATTTCAATTTACTTGGCCACCCATCTTGAATTCACTATTCTATGCAGCCAACAAGAGTTTAAAACACCAGTAGCATATACCAGTAATGAAAACACATGTAAGTTAGTAGCTGAAGTTAAAAAAAAAAACAATTAAAATGACCATTATTGACAGATGGCATTCTTTAACAAAGGGGACTCAGAGCAGTTGTCTTCTGACAACCCAAATGGAATGGGTAGACATCTTTAGGAAGAGGTGGTCCATTAAATAATCTGGCCTCATGCCATGAAGGAATGTATAGGTCATTCCCAGCCTTTTGAATTTATTTTTATTTATTTATTGAATTCATGTAGCCACCCATTTCACATTTGTGACTCTAGGTGGCACACATAGTTTGGCAAAACAATTAAAACCATTAAAAAACAGAAAAACAAATAGCTATTAATATAAACAAAGATGCAGAAAAGTGCATTCAAAATCCTAGATACCATACAACCAGTTGAACCTGGAAGCATACAGGCACCCTGTTCACAGAGCAGAGGTGTAACATGATGGTGAGGCATATATGACTGCTTGGAGCACTGCATTCTGTACCAGCTACAGCTTCCAGATACTCTTCAAGGACAGCTCCATGTAATCTGCCTTGCAGTAGTCCAATCCATCAGTCTGACTCCTAAATGACTCCTGCACAAACAAAGAGATAGATACATATCTCTATATCTATCTATCTATCTATCTATCTATCTATCTATCTATCTATCTATCTATCTATCTATCAAAGTACCATAGACCTGAAGATAAATAACTAGAAGAGATGTAGAGAAAACATATATCCCAAATAGATTTCATTGTATCAAATAATTTTAATTCAGACTGGGAAATCTAGATGATTGCCATTTTCCTTATATTATACTGTAATGTATCTTCTGTGTACCCTATCCTATACTTCATTGAATCTAGTCCTTGTGAGGAATCATAAAATCATAGGACTGGAAACTGCTGTGGGTTATAGGAATTGGGGAAATCAAGTACCTTGGAGGCCAGAGGTCCCTAGCATTATCCACACCTAGATTTAACTCCATCTGTTGTAGAAAATAGGTTCAAGCATATTTGTAAATCAGTGGATCATGCTATTTTTCCTGACATTCTAGCATTGGAATGTACTTATCTTATACTCTATTTTAATGAGGGAATTTCACTGTGGTAATAATTTAGATTCTTCTCCTTTTCTTGTCATGGAACAGTTGCTGATGGTATCTTATTATATCTGCTTCATGAATAAAATATAATTCCAAAAAAAGTATAAACTGAGTTTTTTAATGTCAATGGGTACTCAGAGTTTTTTCTTTCTTTCTCTCTGAGGTGAAATTAGGGCTAAAATGAATGATACTATTACTCTCCTTGACAATTTTGTCTTTAGAACTGGTTTGAACTGATACAATAATCTTAAAACATTTTAGGATGCTTATATCTAATCATTTAATCTTGGTATAAAATTAGTAAAAATATTAGGGTTAGGTGAATCTGAACATACGACAAGTTGAATTAAAATGTTAATAAAGTTCTGAGTGCTTGCAAATATGTGTGGAAATAGGGCATGTATCATTACATATTGTATGGGCTATACAGATGTTTTAATGTGCTAATCTGCTCCACACAACAATTAAAATAAACTTCTGAGGTAAATATGTCCATCATCTGAAACCAGTGGATCAGATTCTCTCTCCTCCTTCATCACTACATCACAATCCCCAAATTTCTTCTCGAAGGTTAGGAACTTGCACTATTAAGTCATGAGATGCATCCAGTTGAAAAAGTGATTCATGGGAAAACACTTTTTTTTCAAAATTAATAATATGCATATTATGAAATAAACATAACAACATTATTGACTTTCTATTTATGTAATGACAGGATGGTTTAAAACCTTATGACACACACACATACACACATTTACTTGTCATAATAATGTTTAAAATTTATTTTTCAGGCTAAAGATATTCTCCCATTTCAAATTAATTTTTACCAATAGGTTATAAAACATGGTCTTCATTCATTGCTGGCAGGTGGTGCATCTAAATATTTACTGTTGCTTTTCAGCTGCAGAAGGTAGCCATTTGAGGAGCAGTTCTTCTAAAGAGAAAATTTCCACTTTTCAGAGAGATGGTGTATCTGTTTCAAGTCTATCAAAAAGAGATGAAAGAAGTACACTACAAACTGTAAGGGGTGTCAGCAGTTTTGAAAGCGACACACAAACGCCCACTGTTGCCAATGCTACCATCTCCAGCAATTCAGATTTTGCTCATTCTTTTCATATAAAAACTCCAGAAGAGATCAGCCCAGGTTTGTTACCTGAAGACACTGATTTTACTGAAGGAATGCTTATATCTTCTCAGGCTCCTTCAAAAACAACAGGTAAAGGATAAAGTTGTCAGAAGACTGAATTTATTTTTATTATTTTGAAGAGCCAGTTTGGTGTAGTGGTCGAGGCACCAGACTAGAAACACGGGTGTTGAGTTCTAGTCCAGCTTAGACATGAAGCCAGTTGGGCCTGGGCCTTCCTCTCAGTCCTAGAAGACAGATAAGGGAAAATCACTTCCAAAAACAAACCTTGCCAAGCAAAAAATACAGGACTTGTCCAGGTGGTTGCCAGCAGTGAAGAATAATAACTCAAAAGCAAATTACCTTCACCCCTACATTATTTGTTTTGGGTTTGTGTAAGAGATAATACAAACGTGATAGAATAAGATAAAACTCTCACAGAAACAGCAATTGCTGAGATTTCTATGCATTTTGAGATCTTATGGGTTCATATATTTTTGTTAATCTACAGACCATAATAAAGATGGATTTGTTTAATTCCTATAATTAATACGTGAAAGAAATTAAAAACACTTTTTAATGATGAATTTATTTAGATTGTAGTAAAAACAGTAAAGTAGTTTGACTTTTATCAAATTCCTTGTTTCTTTAGCAGCACTACCTGGCCAGAGGTGGTATTCAGCAGGTTCTGGCCAGTTCTGGCCAGTTCTAGTGGAAATTTTGAGTAGTTCGGAGAACCGGCAAATGCCACCTCTGAATGGAGATTTTACAGTCGCCTTCCCCTACCATGCTCACCAAGCTATGCCCACAGAACCGTTAGTAAAAAAAATTTGAATCCCACAGTTCTGGGTGGGTGGGGGAATAATGGGATGACCACAGGTGGGCAAAAAGCAGGGGGAGTGGGAGCAATTTCTGGCTTCCTGCCAGCTTCTCCATTGATTTTGTTTGTGAGAAGTTGGCAGGGAGGTTTGAAATCACTGCTTCGCTTCCTCGGCTGACCTGTGGAACTGCTTGCTACTTTTCTGGGAGGGAGGAGGGAAACAAAAGGAGCTGTGCACCATGAGAAAATTGCATTCTTGCTCCTCATCTTGGCATATCCCCAAGACCCTTCTCCCTTCAGGGACAAAGGGGGCTCACCCATCAACCATCCGTGGTCCCCCCGCTGAGCCCCATCTTGCCAGGAGGCATCTGAGTCACCCCCTAATCCTTTCCTTACTGCTCACTGCCATTAAGGATTACATTTCATCCCCAGTCCCAAAGCGACCAATTGCTGCTCTCCTATTGTGCTATACTATCAACCAGTCGAATGTTGGAGCCAGAGGAAGGCAGAAAAGAGAGCCGGGATATGGCCCTCCCATCTTTCCTTGTACTATGCCATGTACAGGATTTCCGAGAAATATAGTTGGAAGACACAGTGGTACTGTAGCGGCCACAGGTTTTCCAAATTTCATTCCCACGGAAGTCATGGACCGTTAATCCATTTGAGCTATCTTGGTTATCTTGTTACCCAATGCCTTCCAATTTCACCCAATTGAAGGTGACAAACCAACACAAGAGTTTTAGTGGTATATAGATGCTGCTAGTTTTTATAGAACAGCTCCCAAAGTATAGTGTAATTAAGGTGAAAATGAATGGTACCAATTTAATTGGAAATAAGTGTGATTGCTTACTGATTTGGACAAGCGTTGGTCTGTTGTGAGAGAAAATACTATTTAATTAGGGTGATAGAGTTTATCATAAGCAATCCAGTGATCCCAGAAATTGAGAGCCAATTAATGCTGATGTCAGTGGAAGTTGGTTAGGAACTTAAACTGCCCATGCAAATAAAGAAGAAAGCAAAGTGTTATGTCCCTGGAAACAAAGCATAGCAACGTGAAAATTATTGCGTGCATGGCAATACCTTCCAATCCTTTTTGTCATGGAATGATGTATAAACAAGGATATGTATTCATCCTACAATTCTACTCTATTTTTTTCTTTTTATTTATTTGTATCCCACTTAATTACAAAGAACTCAACACCTCTTCCGCTTCCTGTTTTCCCCAAAACAACAATCCTGAGTTGGGCTGAAAGAGAATGCCTTCATGGCTAAGGCAGGACTTGAACTCACAGTCTCCCACTTTCTAGTCCGGTACTTAACCACAAGACCAGGGGTCCCCAATCCCCAGGCTGTGGCCCACTACCGGGCCATGGCCTATTTGGAACCAGGCAGCGCGATCAGTGGGCTGGCGCATACAAATTCATGCAGCTGTGAAAAGCAACTTTTTAATTTCAAAATTGATAGAAGGTTTTCATGTACATAGTTACGAGAAAATCAGGACTAACATTAATTCCTTCCTCTTCTGTTTCAGTTGAAGAGAATGGTCAGTCACACAGCAGCCGCAGCTCAAGTACAGACGGCATTTTCTCCACTTATCACCTGAACAGCACCTCCATTTCAGTTCTATCTAGCTTAAATGGGGAGAGGACATTACGAACCCCAAGAGATGTCAGTAATGCTCACAATGTAACACAAGGATCCATAGCCTGGCACAATGAAACCTCTATTTCTTCAGGCCTCACCAGTTCTTCTTACCTGTTAACTCCAGTAGAAACAGATTTAACTCCTCAGACCACTGATTTCACTGAAGGAACAAGCACGCATTCTCGAGCTTCTTCAGAAAAAACGGGTAAAAATGAAAGATATCTGGTTTCAGAACACTACAGGAAAACCTCGATTCATGAGCACAATTGACCCCCAAGTTCTGGTTGCTAAGTGAGACAGTTGATAAGTAGGAATTTTGCTTGATTTTATGACCTTTCTTGACACAGTTGTTAAGTGAATCACTGTGGTTGTTAATAACACAGTTGTTAAGCAAATCTGGCTTCCCCGTTGACTTTGCTTCTCAGAAAGTTGCAAAGGATGATCGCTTAACTCCGGGACACTGCAACCATCATAAATACGAACCAGTTTCCAATCATTTGAATTTTGATTATGTGACTATGGTGATGTTACAATGGTCGTAAGTGTGAAAAACTGTCATAAGACACTTTTTTTCAGTGCTGTTGTAACTTCAGACAGTCACTAAATGAACTGTTAAGTCGAAGGTTACCTGTATTTTACTTGGCAGTTGTCTGCTCTTCTTCATGGAGCTTAATATTGTTCAATATACAATATTTGCCACTGTCTTGAATATTTTTTCCTAGAAAAAGCCACATAGGTTCTCTTACTTCTCATCAGTTCCCTTACTTCTCCCTTCCTTATCCACATGCTAATTACGTCACATGTTAGCGATAAGCCTCTTTCCTGCTTCTAGAAAATAACTCAGTACCAAACTGGGAAGCCACAGTCAGTCATTAACCTTGGAAAGGATCTCTATTGGTTGGGCTTTTGCTGGTCACATGATCTGCCATAGATACCTTGCTTGATATTGCTATAGTATTAGTGCCCATCAATCTCATCTCTTGTCACAGCCTCTCCTCACACATAGTTCTTTTCCAAAAATTTGACTTAGGACCATTCAGTTGGTTTTGCAATATTAGAGGAAATGTCAAATGCATATTCCTTCTTTCATCCTGCCATTGTAAGCTTATCACAGCAATGAGTAGGAAAGAAATCATGGCTAAAGGGCACTAGGAATTCAAGGTGAGAAAACAAGCTCGCCTTTTTTCCTAGTAGTAAGGTGGATTTCATTCCACTTGTTTTAATGGATCATATATTAGAGTCATAATTCAGAATCTCCTTTCTTTGTAGTTTAATAGGCAAGTGTTTTTATCCTCTATCAGTTGTACATGGTAAAATACAATAGATGTAGCAGTGCTGAGATTACAGTGCAGTTCTAGTGTCATTTACAGTGAAACTAAGACAAAAATGAATCATGCTTATAATTCCTTGCATTCAAATCATTAAAAAAGTATTATTTTGAATTAGCCATAACTATGTGGAAATACGTTATCAAAAACATAGGAGGAGAATTCCTCATGGCATGGGATCTGGTGGGAATATGATTTGAATGTAATGGGAAATTGGGCTGATTTCCAGATTTGGATTAGGGTAAATGGTTAAGAATATGGCTATAGATATTTGTGAAAGTTGGGATACTAGTTTCTTTAAAGATGATATTTATATAATTGTTTTAATGTATTTTTGCTTTCTTGTGTAGAAAATTCCCAAGTTATATTTCACAGCTCAATTAGTAAAGGCAATTCATTTCAAAAAAGAAAATCACTTAGTTTATAAAAGCAGCTCCAGTTCTAGACCATATCAATAAAGTTCTTGAAAGTTGTTGCTTAGTAATAACATTTTCTTGGAGCATTAACATACATTTAGATAAAGTGTATTCCAGAAGGAAAGACTTTTTTCTTCCAATGCAATTATTTCTGAGTAGTTCGGAAGAGATCTTCAATGGTGAAAGATCTCACTTAAAAAAATATAGGGAAAGTTGTTTTAAAGAAGATTGCCTCAAATAAAAGATAAAAGTCAAAAATGTTGATATTTAAATGCTTTAAATTAATGTCATTCTGCCATATGATAGCTGAACATAAAAATCAGCTATAAATGAAAAAAAATAATAACTTCCTTTAGTTTCAGTGTTCTAGGTTGATTGTTCATTTCTTTGATAAGATAGTAGTTATTCCCTGGAAAGTTAATGTTTTCTATTAGAGCTGCATGAGTGTAGTTGTGGAAGCATATTTGTGGTGTTCCTTTAGCATATGAACATAATGCCTCCTAATATTTGACTATTATATTTCAGGTGTAGAAAGCAGTGATCCACCAAGCAGCAGCTCGAATATAGAGACCAGATTTTCCCATTCTGATCAGGACAGTGCATCTGTTTCAGGTTCATCAGACAGAGCGGATGAGATCACACCATCAACTTTAAGAGAAGTCAGCAATGTTTTTAATATAACCCAAACATCCAGTTCTAAGAACGATAACATCACTAGCTCAAATGTTGCTGATTCTTCTTATACAATGACACCAAGACACACCAGAGAAACAAATTCATCATCTGGGAATAATGATTTCACTGAAGAAGCATTTACATATTCTGAGGCTCCATCAGAAACAACAGGTAAATGAGAGGAATATCTTGTTATGTCAGATTTCAGAGTAATTTTTAAGTTGGTTGATGTAAACCAGATTCCTGTGGAAAAAAGAATCAGAATATCAGCTTCTTTTCTAAGAATCCAATAATGGGGTTTGTTGTTATTAAACACTTTTAATAATGGGAACTTTGTTCATAAGTAATTTATGAACAAAAATGCTTTGGCCCTTTTCTTACATTCTCTTTTCCAAATTTTACATTCTCTATTCTGATTGTTTTCTAGCATACGTTCAAAGCCATGTCAAATGTTACATCAATTTTACAGGACAATTTTTCCTAATCTGATAATCTCCAGATACTTTAGAACAATCATTTATCAGAATACCCGAAGGATCTTTTCTGCCCTTACATGAGAAGTGGGACATGGAGGTCTTTAACATAATGAAATCTAAACATGAATCTATTATTAGCAAATTAATTAGTTTAATTTTGACATGTCTGTGTAAAGTAACCAGATTTGATATGAAATGCAATAATAAAGCTTCCAATAATTTGGTACACAGTAATACAGAAAATGAAACATTAATTTTCAATTTTAAACGGTCCATAGAGTTGGATAGAATGTCACAACATCCCCATCGTCACGTGATCAATATTTGATCAGCTGCATCATCTAGGTGTCATTTGATCACCATTTGTGACCTTCCCAGGTGACTTCCAACAAGCAAAGTAAATGGGGAAAGCTGGATTCACTAAATGACCACATGATTCACTTAACTGCAGTGATTCATTTAACAACTGTGGCAAAAAATGTTGTGAAATCAGGCATGACTTACTTAAAACTGTCTTGCTTTAGCATTCTGGAAATTCTGGCCCCAATGGTCGAGGATCACCTGTACATCCAAATGAATCCAGTAGTGTTCTTTAACGTTTATTTTAATTTTTCAAGTTCTATTTGAATGGAGACTGACATGGCAATTGTATTGAAAAGTGTAGTATTTTTTTTTTTGCCTTTTAATGACCATGTAATCCCTTCCCGAGGTGGAGTCTGGGCAACTGAATGCCCTTCCTGTCACCAATGCAGAGTTTGCAGCAGATAATTACTCATTGTGCCCAGAGAGAAAAATATCTGCCACTATCTAGGACCGTGAAGGCAAACCTATGGAATGCGTGCCGGAAGTGGCATGCAGAGCCATTTCCTCTGGCACACAAGAGCTCACCCGGAAGAACTCCACTGCACATGCGGGCGTGTGGCCGCCACCCTACAGCTGAATGTCGGGCATCTGGCACGCATGTGTAGGGATGCAGGGGTGTGCAGGAGACACGTATGCATGCACAGAGACATGCGGCGTGCGCTGGGGGTTGCACGTGCAGGTGCAGAGATGCATGGTGTGTGGAGGGATTGTGCCTTCATGTGCAGATGGATGGCGGCAGGGGTGATTGCGTGTGCATGTGCAGGGATGCACGGTGCATGGGGGGTGATTGCACGTGCATGTGCAGATCCATGGTCCACGGCGGGGGAATCGCACGTGCAGAGATGCTGCATGTGGTGGAATCACATGCGCAGATGCAGAGATGCATGGCGTGCGGTGGGGGAATCTACACAGAGATGCATGGCACGTGGCAAGGAGATCGTGCACACATGTGTAGACATGCAGCATGCTGTTGGGGGATTGCGCATGCATGCACGGGGGGGCAGCACGCATTGCCTTCTGGGTGCAATTATCAGCACAGGAGCCAAAAAGGTTTGGCACCACTGATCTAAGATCAAACTCACAACCAGGGGTGGGATTCTACCAGTTCACACCTATTCGCTAGAACCGGTTGTTAACATTCTAAGCAATTCGGAGAACCGGTTGTTAGAAGAAATTACTGGCCTAATCCTGTAAGGGAGGCAGGAAGGAAACATTCTGGTGTTGCTTACAGAAACTGCCTCTCCGTTAACCCTGTTAGGAATAACATAGGTTACCTAACGTAGTTTGGGTAAAATACTATATATAAACTATGATTGTAAGTTTAAGTGTGCGTCACTTTAAAACTGCAAAGCATGTAATTTTGGGTGCGGTGTGAAACCACCATAAGAGGGAGCAAGAGAACCTGATTGATTGCTGACAATTACTGGATTGCATGGATTGATGTTTTGTTAACTACGTGTTTCCCCTACTGCTGAGTTGCTGAAGGAAGAGAGGAGTTTTTGACTTCTTCATATCTCTACTGCAAGGAGATATATTACTGGACTGATATTTGTAAGTTTACTGACCTCTCTTTTTTGACACTGGAATTTGCAACTGAATAATCCCTGGACGGACTGGACTAGTGAATGATATATGGACTGTTTTGACTATGCTATAACTCTTACCGGAATAAACTATTTAATTAGCACTGTGTATCTGTTTTACTGAGTGTAAGCTACAAAAACGTTTATCTCACATATTTTTGCCTGCCTGCCTGACTGCTGTGCAGATTCTGCTAGGGTGTATCCCTAACACTGGTTATGGGCCCAGCTGCACAGTCAGACTAACCAGGATATAACAGGCTTATATAAAGTGAGAGTTAGTGTAGTTACACAATACTGTAAACAGACAGCTGTGTTTTATTAATTATAGTTTAATATCCAGAGAAAGATGGCACAAGTCAATTTACCAAGTTTGTCTCTAATATCCAAACTGGATGGAACAAACTATGTTTCATGGTCTATGAAATGCAGCCTACTTCTACGTAGAGAAGGTTTGTGGAGTATAATTCAAAACCCACCAGAGGTAGATGCTTGGGATCCAGAGGATGAAGATGATGCCCAGAAAATACAAGAATATAAACTGAAGAATGAGCAAGCTCTCTGTATAATAGGACTGACACTCTGTGACCAGCAGCTTGTCCATATTCGTGGAGAAGAAACAGCTGCTAAGTGTTGGGAGAATTTAAAGAAGATTTATGTTCGAGACAGTGTAGGAGCACATATAAATCTTACACGGAAGCTGTTCAGAACACATCTTCAAAAGAATGGAGACATGTTGACTCATATAAACACTATGAAGAGAATTTTTCAGGAGCTGCATGAAAAAGAGCTTATCTTCACTGAACTACATCAGGTTTATATAATTTTGTCTTCATTAGATGAGAGCTATGACGACTATGTAACTTCGCTGGAAGTGCTGCCAAAAGATAACCTCACATTAACTGACATTACTGGCAGATTAATTGAAGAAGCCAGGAGAAGGCTTGAAAGGGATCAACTCAGAAGGGAACAACCACAAGAAGAGGAATTATCTTCGTCAGCCTACACAATTAGAAAATGTTTTAATTATGGAAGAAAAGGACATTTGGCTAGATTCTGCAAGAAAGAAAAACGCCAAAATGTCAGCCAGAATGCAAAAAGGCATCAAAAGGATAAAAAATGCTTAGAGCTAGCCATGTATAGCAACCAAACTGTGAACAATAATAATTTTTGGGTGGTAGATAGTGGAGCATCGCACTGCATAACAAAAGATAAGAAAAGATTTATTAAGATGTCCACGAGTTCACAGCAGATATCGTTAGCTAATGGTTGGAGACTTAAAGCAAAAGCTGAAGGTACTGCATATTGTTCTTGCATACAAGAAAATGTAAAAATGTTATATGTACCACAACTTAAGTTTAATTTGCTTTTGGTTAGAGTTTTGATTAAATTAGGTTACGTAGTTACCTTTAGGGGAGAAAACTGCATAATAGAAAAGGAAGGTAAAAAAGTGACTGCAACTTTAAAAGGTGAATTGTATGTGTTACATGATAATCAATTAGAGGTGGCTAACACAGTGTATAATAACGTTAAACCTCATGATGAATGCATACATTTGTTACACAGACGTTTAGGGCATATAAATTTTAAAATGCTCAAGCAAACAGTTGAACTGTCTAAAGGTATAAAACTGAAGCCTTGCAGTAAGTATTTGCACTGCAATGCTTGCAGTCAAGAAAAAAGGAAGGTAATACCAGCAAATAGAATTAATGGATTTAAAACTAAGGAGCCTCTAGAGGTCGTATTTGCTGATATTATAGGTCCTAAAAAACCAAGTGTGGGAGGTGCTCGTTATATATTAATATAATGGATCATTATTCTAGATATGGTTTCTGTTATTTAATGAAGAGTAAAACGGAAACATCAGAATTTCTTTAATTGGTTGAAGTTTGCAGAAAGAAAAACTAAAAGGAAACTAGTAACTCTTGTAACTGATAATGGTACGGAATTTATAAATAATAAATTCCAAAATAGACTGAAGATGGCAGGTGTAGAACATAAAAAGTCTGCACCATATAGGCCACAACATAATTCCTTTATAGAAAGACGAGGCCAAACACTACAGGCAATGGCTCGTACTATGTTGTCGGATTCAGGATTACCTGAAAATTTGTGGGGAGAAGCAATAATGTGTGGTAATCATATATTGAATAATGTTGTTAATTCAACAACAGGTGAATTACCATTCACACGGTGGCATGGTAGAAAACCTGACCTAAGCTACATGCACACATTTGGAGCACTAGCATGGGTGCATATTCCTACACAACTGAGACATAAGGGACGGCATAGGGCTAAAAGATTATTTTTTGTAGGTTACGAATCTAACCATAAATCTTACAGGTTCTGGGAAAAGGATACAACTAGAATTTATTGTAGTGCTAGTGCACAATTCCTAGAACATGTAGGATGGGAAAAACTGGAGCAAGATTCGAATAAAGATGTAATTATAGAAACCTACAAAAGACCAAACCACCATATCAGTAATAAGAAAAGTCCAATTAAAGAGGAAGTAAAGGAAGAGCAAATAGGACCAAAACAGGAAGAAATAGATAACCAGGAACAGGTGATAGATAAAAGTCCACCTGTAAGCCCTGTACTACCTAGACGGTCAACAAGTGAAAGTAGACCACCTGAAAGTAGACCACCTGAAAGTAGACCACCAGCAAGTGTAGTTTGCCAGGTTAGTAAAATTCCAACTACTGTGGAAGAACTAAAAATGTATCCTGCAAAGGATCAAGAGAATTGGCATACAGCAATGCAAAAGGAACTGAATTCATTAAAACAGATGGGAGTCTATGAGAATGCTAAATTACCTCCAGGTGAAAAGTCCATTGGATGCAAATGGATATTTAAATTAAAAACAGGTAAAAATGGGACTGTTACCCATAAGGCTAGGTTGGTAGCTCAAGGATTTAATCAAACTGCATGTGATTATGATGAAGTGTTTGCACCAAGTCTAAAAGCAACAACCTTGAGAGCAGCTTTAGTGTGGGCAGCTAAGAAAAACTATATCATAAATCATTTAGATGTAGAAACTGCCTATCTGCATGCGCCATTGCAGCACACTATATACCTAAAGAAACCTGTAGGGATTATGGATGATAAAACTAATAATGACTGTTGGAAACTTAAAAAGAGTCTCTATGGATTAAAACAATCTGGTTACGAATGGAACCAATATATTGTTAAGGAGTTAAACAATATAGGGTTTAAAGCAGGTTTAGCTGATCCATGTTTATTTAAAAGAGAGACAAATGGAATAGTGTCATTATTATTGTTGTTTACAGATGATATTGCTTTAATTACAAAAACTAATAATGAAGCTACTGAAATAATATCATTATTAGGTAAGAGGATAAAATTAAAGCAATTAGGAGAGATAAAACAGTATCTAGGATTGACAATAAATAAAACCAATGGTGGCTATAAGATATCTCAAGAGGATAAGATTTCTCAATTACTAAAAACATGTCCCTTTGGTGTCCCATGATGTTTTGTGATGTTTCCCCCCTTCGTGGAGCTGGGGTGGGTGTGGCCTGTGCGTGACGCATCCAGACTGCAGGCCGCCAGTTTGACACCCCTGCTCTAATGTATAGAAATATCTAATGATTGCCTCTTCTCTTGCAGACACCAAGAGTAGGCCACATGCCTTGAGCCACTTCAATGTAGAAAAGAAGGCCACTCAGACTGAGAGTATGTTCTCTTCTACTGTGATCCAAGATGAGACCTTTGGATCTTTAACTAATCAGAGCAGATCCATAGACACAACGGAATTGTCACCAATTGATACAAAAAATGCTGGTTCTTCTGTGATGATCCAGATGTCGTCTGCCACATTACGAAGTAGTAAAGAAAATTCCGCCTCTACTGAAATGGATTTCACAGAATCCCTAGAACAGTCTTCAGATACTACTTCATCAAAAGCGTCAAGTTATTCATCTTCTGTGAAAGATTTTTCAAGTGAGTTTTTTTTCTTGTTATGGTTATAGTTATAAATCCATCAGAGACCAGGTTGTCAATTCATTCCCTTGTAGGCCTTCCAAATTGCTCTTCCCCCACTTCCTATTTACATTTTTTTTAAAAAATAAAGTCTATTTTCACTGACCCATACAACTGCAGGCATGAAGCTTGCAAATGGTAGACTTTTTTTCTAAGGTGACCAACTTTTTTACAATGAGAAGGAGGACACAAATAAAGAAGAAAAAAAACAAAGCCACTTGTGCATGGCGCACTCTTGGGTGCCGCACATTCTTGCACATGGTGCACTCCTGCGCACAGTACACTCTTGAGCATAGCACACTCTCTCAAAACAATTCTCCTGTGTGGAGCGCATGCATCTCATAATCGCGTCTCGCCGCATTGTACCGAGCCTTGATGAATCGCCATGTCAAATACAAATACGTCACATCACACACAATGGATCAGATTGGCATTGATCAAATACGGAGATTTACAGATTAGTCTTCAAATATCAAAAAGGAGGACATGTAGGAGGACACTTTTCGAGAGAGGACAGAACTTACAAAAGGAGAGTTGGTCAACTTATCTTTTCTCTTAGGTCTCACACTTTTGTCTGCCAAAAATGTTCACGTATGCTTTATTTATAGTAGCATTATTATAGCGTCCATTGAAACTATATGATAATTATATTTAGTTTGCACAAATACAAAGATGTGAGGACTCTTCTAAATATATGCGGAAAGCAAGGTTGTGATGTAAAATGATGTATTTAGAAGCAGCTCTGGTTAAAGACAAGGCCATTTTTCAACTGGGCAAATGTATACCTTCCTTCTATAGCCTCTTGGAAAAGTCATTCATTGAGATGATTTAAGATGAAAATGCATAATGCAAGTATTCCTCAACTTACAACCTGCCACTTAATGACCGTTCAAAGTTACAACAGACCCCAAAAAGGGGACTTAGGACCCAGATCTGAAGTTATAATGGTTGGCCCTTCCCCATAGTCACGTGACTGCATTGTATGATGGTTTTGCAACAAAACAGCATACATAGCAAACCATTGGCTCATTTAATGACCATGGCATTTGTATAGTGGTGATTTGCTTAACAATAACGATAAAAAAACATAAAATCAGGTGACTCACATGATTGACTGATTTTACAACTGTTATGACTTATGAATGCAATGGGCAGTCTCCATTAAGGCTGTAACTCGAGGACTATTTCAATTCAGAATAGAGCCGGAAGGGATCTTGAAGGTGTTCTAGTCCAACCCCCTGCCCAAGCAGGAGACCCTATACCATTTCAGATAAGTGGCTGTCTGTCCAGTCTCTTCTTAAAAACTTCCAGTGATGAAGTACCCACAACTTCAGAAGGCAAGCTGTTCCACTGATTAATTGATCTCACTGTTAGAAAGTTTCTCCTTAATTACAAGTTGCTTCTCTCTTTGCTTAGTTTCCATCCATTGTTTCTTGTCCTGCCCCCTGGTGCTTTGGAGAATAAATAAGCCCTCTTCTTTGTACCCATCAAATGCTGGAATACTGCTATCAGGTCACCCCTAGTCCTTCTTTTCTCTAGATTAGCCATACCCAAATCATGCAACTGTTCTTCATATGTCTCCATTTAATCTCCAGGCCCTTAATCATCTCAGTTGCTCTTCTCTGCACTTTTTCCAAAGTCTCAACATCTCTTCTGTAATGTGGTGACCAAAACTGGATGCAATATTCCAGGTGTGGTCTTATTAAGGTTTTATAAAGTGGCACTAATATTTAACCTTATAGTATAGATACTGTATTACCTATAGCATAAAATGTTATTAACTGTGATAAGTGAAATTTGAGTCAATTCTGATTTTATGGCAATGCTGGAAAAAATTCAAATACTTATTAGTTATTGGTAGCTATGTTCTCCATAAGATTCCATTTTATTAAAAAAAAGTCATCTCTTTATATGCAACTACATACTAATTGAAAATAGTGACAGAAATGAGAAGCAAAAATAACTTCGTAATGCACTCAGACAGTTTAGAGTAGTGTTTAAGGCACTGGACCAAAAATCAGGTGACTGTGAATTCTAGTCCTACCTGAGGTACAAAAGTAACTGTGTGACCTTGAGCCTGTGACACTCTCTCAGTCCTAGGAAGCAGGTAAGGGCAAGCCACTTCCAAAAAAATTCAAGGGCTAGTCCAGTTGTTAATCAACAATGCCTTGAAACCACACAAAAAATATCCACCCAGAGGTGCAAACACAAACAATATAAACTTCTGTTTATAAACTTTACCTAGTAAAAGACAGATGAACTGAACCTAACATTTTCTACTAAGCTGTAATAAGATTAGCACAAAGTCACAATAAAAATGGTTTTTTTTAAAAAAAAATCAAAGTCTTACAACAAGGATATAGGGATTATGCCTAGAAGTTTAATTCACAGCATGTCTCTTTGGACAGAGAATAATCATGCTGTGTTGAGTTAACTTTAAATTGTTGAGAGTCAGTTCTTTTATTGTGCCCCTCAATTTGACTTGTATTGTTGGAACACATTGCACAAGTGGTGCTTATGAAATCTGAATTTTTAATCTTATTTAAGGCTCTACAGACCATTTTCAAACCATTAAGGGATCTGAGGTGGGAAGAAGATTTTCGATTGCTTCAACAGACAGCGTCTATCTATCAACCACATTTGTACATGGGGCAGAAAGGACTTTAAGATCCCTGCCAGATAACAGCACGTCTGATGATGCAGCAGATAGCAACTCTTACAATTCCCAAACTTCCAAATCTTCAGGGGAAAGCTTGACTTTGTCTTCAGAGCCTGAAACAGAAACACATAATGCCTCACTAAGTGAAGTGCAATCTATTGGGCCTTCTACTGAGTATTCAACAGAATATTCCTCTGGAGTTCCTACAGCCTTGTCACCAAATGATTCAGCAAGTAAGTTTGCAAAGAACAAAGGAAAATGTGGGCTAAACTCAGTATGGTTTGTATTGTGTATGTCCAACATGGTAAATGTGTGTATATGTACGTATAGCATACAGACATTCAGCATATATAAATGGGCATGAATGTCTGTTTCTGTAGACATATCCAGTATGCAGAATCAAAACACTGTATTTATGATGAACTATCTAACTTGTTTGGATTTAGTTTGTGCAGAAGTAAATGTGTATGATCTAAAAGGCAACCACAATACATTCTGAGCCAATCAAATATAATTACTTCCAGGACAGTACTCCATTTCAAAATGTAGGGCTACATTTCTAATTCACAGTGCTTAATATTATAAATAATATGACTTCTGATACTTAATTATCTGCCATTTTAAACATATGTGTCCAAATTATTATTTCAGCTATTGGAAGCACTGATAATTCAACTAGTGGGCCAAGAGTTTTGCATTCTCCCACAATCAGCACTGGTAGTTCAGCCCCCTTCAGTGAAGGGGAACAGCAAAATACACAACCTACAATTAACACTACAGTGATGGAAGAGACTGAAAGTGTCTCATCATATATGGAAAATTTTGACAGCACAAGATCAAAACCTTCCTCATCCAAGTCATACTCTAGAATGACACATTTATCTCTAAAAGATTTGGATATCTCTCCATCTTCAACTGAGGCTTTCCAAATTCTTAGTTCATCAACTGATTCTTCTTCCAAAAGTGAACTTTCAGGTTAGTTTTCTATTATATTCTTTTGCCAGCATCAAAGCCAATTCCTGTCTGGGTTTTTTTTTCTTAGTATGTAAATGAATTGTGCTTTTCTTGGAGAACATTTTATTTGATGTTTCTAAAAGTGTATCAGTAAAGCACTTGAATATATTCATGGTTCTTTTTTTTTTACTTCCAGATCAAGTAACATTAAATGTTCTCTGAATCTGACATGTATTATTCCATTAGTAATTGATGGGCATAATAGGCACTGAGTTCCGTGTTGGTTATATCTAATATTTAATACTTCTTTATGTTCTAGTTTGTGACTCCTTTAAGTAGCTCATGTAACCTGAAGGAAAGGGCCTTTTCTTGTGGGATAACCTGTCCCATAGCTTCTTAGGACATTTTTTGTATGAATAAGTTTCCAACATGAGATCCTGGTTTTTTCCTTAGGAAATGGGTCAAAGCAGATGAAAAATGCTATCTGAGACTTCAACCAGCCACAGCTATTCCAAGAAATACAACTTCCACAATCCATTGACCCATTGATTGTCTCCAGAATTTTCACCTATTCTAAAAGTCAGACTATTTTGTGGGAGACACCAGGAATTCTACTGTTATGTAGAGTCAGCCAGATGTTTAGACTGGATTTGTTGTTTTTGTTCACTATCCCAAGGACCTGGGATAGGCAGATATTGTTGATGATGGTGTTAAAGGCACCGTCACAGGATGTAAGCTGTTCCAAGTCAAGCTGCCTTTTGCAATTGATCAGTGGTGATTTTGCCAATGCTGTTGGTGTGCCAGTGGTGCTTCAGGTGTTTTGGGATTGCATCCAAGGCACCTATTACTATTGGTTATTATCTTTGCCTTCGTTGATTACAGTCGTTCTACTCTTATTTATACATTATTAGTCTTATTATTTATTGTAATAGAGTTGGAAAGTATTCACTTGAGTCCCAGAATGTATGAGAGGATTCAGAAGAACAGCGTGCCATAGTATTTGACAAAGCAAAACCATTGCAGAAAGACTGATGATGATCAGTATACCTTGACATTTCACATCCTGTGAAATGGTAAAGTCTAGCCATATCCTAGCCCATCCTTGCTATTATATGTCCTCTGGTATAAAAGTGACTCCCAAAACATACACCTTCTGTCTGACCAGATCTCAGAAGTCCCTATCTAAGAAGACGGTGGGACAAAGAACTTGCCAAAGAAATCACAGAAAGTAGGCTGTGTAATAAGATCATCCATTCCTTGGTTTGGAATGCTCTGAGCCAGTAAACTGGAAAGTAGAAGTTCCAGGATTATAGCATTTATTTTGAAATGTACCTTAGACCGTTATCTCTTTCATTTTTCTCTTACGATTAGAAAGTTTGTCTCAATAGTTAATTGTGATTTGTTTCTTTTTTAGATACTGGAACAGAATACCAACCAATAAGTGGGACTGATTTGGGGAATCAGACCTCTGTTTCTCATACTGACAGCACATACACTTTAACTACCTTTGCCAAGGGTGGAGAAAGGACATTGCTGTCTCTTCCAAACAACAGCACATCAGCTGATTCCGCAGGAAGTTCCACTTACTCTGCAGAAATGTCCAGCGCTTCGGAGTCAGTTCAGTCTTTCTTTTCAAGTGACATGGATTTTTCTGAAAATTCAACAGAACCTTTGGCAGTGCATTCCCTGAAAACACCAGAGTATTCGTCTACAATGAGTGAACCAAACACAACTCAGTATTACTCAGAATCAGAATCTGCATCCACTGGCAGCTTGTCATTTTCATCTTCCCCTACAAGGCTGTCAGAACAGGATTCACTTCCACCAGTTCACCCATCCACTCTGTTTTCCTCAGCCAAGTCTTCTGCCCCATCCTCTTTTTCTACTTTCCCATTACCATTATCGTCATCTCCACCCACATCTCTAATGACATTTTCACCCATGTTCTCATCCACAAAACCACCCCCATTGCCTTTCTTTCCCTCTGTGTTGCCTTCACTTTCTTCAACACCTTCGTTGTTACAGCCTAGTGAAAGTCTTGAAACCAGTGTTTCTGTGACTGAGCCTGAAGGAACAACTGGAGCAGAACTACACACGGCAAGAAGCTCCCATGGCGAATATAACCGTCCGACTACGGCGTATCCATTGGTGAACAACACTATTCTGATGGCAACTGGGACTTCTCTTCTGATGGAAATTACTGAACAGCCTGCCAACCGTTCTTCACCAAGAACCACTTCCCAAGAGGAAACGAAAGGATGGACACTTAGTCTCCCAGGAATCAATATTGAGAATGAACCCATTACAAGTACCTCTTCACCCTATTTCCAGGAAATGACCACTACTTCTGAGCCAGCAAAAGCAACTACGGCTATACCGTTGCATACAATCCCTCAAAAGGATACTTTCCCTTCATCAACAGTAACCATGGGCAAAAAAACTACAGAAATAACACACACACCTGGAATATTGCCTACTTCAGCATCAACCATGAATTATTTGTTCGCTACAAAGCTTCAAAAGGTTCCATTGCCCTCTCCTACTGAAATATCTTCTTCCCCTGGAATTCCCACAAAAATGATGGAAAAGAACAGTACAACTACTGTGAAAACCACAGCGCCCAGGATTGTTATTACCACTTCTCCCTATACCTTAACTTCTCACAAAAGCACTGTTCAGTCTTTTCCTGCTTCACCGATTCCTTCCAGACCAACCACAACTGCGAGTTTAGGAAGCTCAAAGATATCTTCAACTGTCTATGGAAAAGGTACCTTTGTTTGCAAATATTGGAAACAATATTGGCCTGAAAAATGAATTTAACTTGTGGTAGATAATTGCATACTGGAATAGGAGCACTTTGCCTAGATTAAAAAAAAAAGTATTTGAATTTCATGGAGATCAAAGTAAGATGTAAATATGCCATATAGAGTTAAAAGTTATTTGAAAATGGGGAAGGAACATCTTTATACTATGAAAAGGCCAGACAAAAACAATTATTTGTAAGTCAGTTTCTTAAAAACAAATAGCAGCAAATGCGCAAAGAAACACTTAAACATACTGCTAAGTAATGGTGGAAATGTTGATCTTTTCTATAATCACAAGAGCATATGCAATTTAATTAAGTGGAAGAAGGTGAAAAGAAATCTCAATGTATATTATCTACCATTCTGTAGCACAGTGGCTCAGCAGTTAAGAACCTGGACTTGTTGGAAAGCCAACATTCCAAGTTCGAGACCTGAGCGCAGCACGACGGGGTGAGCTCCCATCCCCTCCTCAGCTTCTGCCAACCTAGCAGTTTACAAATGTGAGTAGATAAATAGGCGGGAAGATATCAGCACTCTGACATTGTACTGGCCCACATGACTGTGGAAATGTCTTTGGACAATGCTAGCTCAATGGCCTTGAAACAAAGATGACCACTACCCCATTAATTCAGGAACAACTAGCAGAGTAAAATCCACAGGGTCTTTTTTCTTTAATTATCTACCATTCCAGAAAATAATTTTGTTATTATGCTCAAGTCTCATAATAAATGTTTGCAATGGTCATTCACAATTACAGAATTCATGTAATCACCATGTAATCTGAAATCACAATTTTGAGTACTTGAGGTCTATTTCAAGTCAACTGTTTGAGAAGAGAAACTTTGTCTTTAACATCAAGTAGTCAATATTATTAATAGGTGTCATAGGCTATCTTCCAGATGATAAATGTGTATTATACCAAGTACAACTTGGTATCCCAGTATCTGAGAAGCTGAAAGTAGTGCCCTAACCAGCAAGGAAATGATTTGATTATTGTACAAGCCTGCAGACAGGCCTAACCCTTTCGTCTATAAATGATGTAAGGTTTAATTTTATCCGCTCTGGCCTATTGGCATAACGATTTTTTTTTTTTTGCTAAAGTGATTAATCCCGCTAAAGTTTTATTTTCTATCTGGAGCTGGAAGATGGCTGAATCCTCAGCTGGCCTTTTGCTATAGTTCCAAGTAAGTAACTTATATCTCATTAGGTTCTGCCAGACTCTCATTCCTTAGATTGTGCCACAGACATTCAATGACCGCCATAACATTAGCATATGGATGGATGGATGGATGTCCAGTCACTCACTTTGTCATAAATCAACTGTTTCTCTGTTCACCCTGGAACAGAGTGCTTTCTATTGAAGACATAGATGGTCATTCTACAATGGCCATTTTCCTCCTTTTCTCTCTTCTGTTTCTGATGTAGATGAATGCCTGCCTAATCCTTGTCCACCTATGTCTACATGCACTCATGTACAAGGTTCATTCCAATGCATTTGTTCCTTGGGCTATCAGATGGGAAAAGGAAAATGCAACTTAGGTAAGAGCCAAGAAGCAAAATAATAATAGCTAAAATATTGTCATTGTAAAAAAAAAAATTAAACCAAAAATATATTTAACTTCATTTTGCTGATTAGTGACCTTAAGTTGACACTGTATATTGTATTACATTACTGTATATCTTAGAGTTCTGATATTGTCAGCTTGATTATATAATAGTCAGTTAGGAGAATTCTTGGCAGTACAGTTGACTTTGACTTCAGAACTAGAATAGAATAGAATTCTTTATTGGCCAAGTGTGATTGGACATACAAGGAATTTGTCTTGGTGCAAATGCTCTCAGTATACATAAAAGAGATACATTCATCAAGAGTCAAGAATCATAAGGTACAACACTTAATAAAAATCATAGGGTACAATAACAATCAACTAAGCCTAACTTATGACTTTTGGGCAAGATGATTACATTCAAGTTACTGACAGGTATGGGATACAAAGATAGATATATATGAATAGCATGTGTCTTAAACACCGATTTGATGACTGGTTCAACTTCCATTGTTAAAGCATACACACACGAATTCAATTCAGGTGGTACCTGCTCCAGCATTAGACATTATTCATACAGTTTAAACTAAGTTTTTTTTAAAAAGACAGACAATTTCAGGTTAAAATATTCATTTGAGTCTCCCTACTCTTCTCACTGCATCCTGAGTCATAGTTTTCTCCAATTTTCTCCCAACGGTCCTGAAAAGGCAAATGTGTGTGAAAACTCAAATAAAGCTCTTTAGGTTGTCCCAAAGGTGCTTTTTTTTCAAGAGGCAACTGGACTGTCTCATTTTTCTTTGAAGATGTTTTGCTTCTCATCCAAGAAGCTTCTTCAGCTCTGACTGGGATGGTGGGGAATGGAAGGATTTATATTCCTTGCAGGCAGCGAGTCATTTGCATTCTTTTAAGGAGTATAAATCCTTCCATTCCCCACCATCTGGTTCAGAGCTGGAGAAGTTTCTTGGATGAGAAGCAAAATGTATTCAAAGAAAAAACAGACAGTCCAGTTGCCTTTTGAAAAAAAAAGCACCTTTGGAACAACCATGACCTGGATGACTGAGAATCTCCATGGATTCTCAAGGTTGTACTTTAACTCATCACTCTTCTTGCTATGGATGACTATCCCTATCAAGGCAGCATGGGAGTTCACCTGGTGATACCCTCCCTTGGGGATAAGAACCTTCTGAGTCAATCTAAGCTCTGTAATAGGTTGGGGATGCAAATGATCGTGGCCACAGACTGTGGATTTTAATTATTTGCTGATTCTAGACCTCTCCGTGTATTTATAGCAAAATCATTCTATCTCAAAACACCCACAATTCTTAGCCAAGTTCTTTTTCTAGCTTCCCTTCATTCCTTATCCCATATGTTAATAGCTTCCCCCCCACCCCCCCAATGCTGATAATCTGACCAACTTTAGTTATTTGGCCTCTTTAGCAACCTTCCCAGACTAGAATTCGGGGGGATTTTAGCAGTTGAAATCCACATCCTTGTACATCACCCAGGTTGCACCAGGCTGCTCTTGTCCTTAATGTCCTTCCACTAGCCCCTGGAATATTTTTTTTAAAAAAATCCATACTGGTGGCTTTTTTTCTCTCTTGTGGCTTTGAAAATATCTTTTTTGCTGTTGGGAAGGCAGCTGGGAATTTTGCAAAGGAGAAACATACCATTAGAAGGGAAAGGTAATAGCTGCCCATAAGGCAGACTAGAAGTCAAAATAATGAGGATGATACCCACTCTTGGTTGTATCCTTCTATAGATGATTTCTATGTCTTTGCATCTTTTGTACAAAATGCAGCTTAGCCCGTAAAGTCAAAGTCCTGACTTACATATCAAAAGTCATATTTCTGCTTCGTTGTGCAAAGAAAAGGCATAAGAACATATATGTCTGTATACATGAGAGAAAGGGATGGTGGAATCTAGTCTTGGTATTAGCTAACAAGGTGTTCTCTCATCCACAGTAAGGACCTTTGTTGGTCACTTTCCACTAACATTTAACACAACTGGAGGGACATACGCAGAACTACATCAAATTGAAGGAGTTATCATAAACCTGGTAAGTGTAATAATTCTCCTTTAAATATTTGTTTTCATAAAAGCATCTTGTGAGGCCATTTTTGGAAATTTTAATAAAACTTCCTGATGCTCTCAGTCTTCAGAGAGAAAGGGAAGAAATGGACAAGGTGTAAGAGGGAAACTTTATGCCATTGGCAGTTGTGTGGCTGTATTGTAAGTCCTGGGTTCAAGGCATAATTGCCAAGCTTAGAATTCTTGGTTGAACTTTTTTTCCCCTTGTTTTCAGCTGAATGAATCCCTTTCAACATTTCCTGGTTATTATACTTCAACTGTTAAAGCCACAAGGTAAGGAGCATATCATAGTGAAACAGCTGGGGTATAATTTGATCTCTTTCTCCCTTCTTGATATGATTGATACTACATGCATGAATGCATGCATACATACATACATACATACATACATACATATAACTAGGGCTTATTTTCTAGTTGGGTCTTATTTTGGGGAAACACAATATATATGTATAATATATAATGAAGAATGAGCCGGGCCAACCACAAGGTCACGGGCAAAGCAGCAAATTGCAATAGCTGACAGGTTAACATCACTTCTTAGAGATAAGCAAACCAAGCTGTGTCTAGTAAGGAAGGAAGCAACAGGAATTAAACCTCCATCGACCAACATGACTGAAGCAAAAACAACAGAGTTAATTACAGGTGGGAGGCAGTTGGAAGGGCCTATTACCCATGCAAGGGCTAAATTGATTAATGATATATAAAGGCATGGATTTCTGTAATGGTAATTTAATACTCTGACGATGTCAGCAGAGGGTGACGAAAGCTTAGTAATAAATATAATTTTAGTTCCAGAAACCGCAAGATGTTTGCTTCTTCTCTTACAAGTATGCCTGGAACTCATATTTTTAGAATAGTTTGTAATGTATAATATATATCTCTATTTCTATCTCTATATCTGTCTCTATCTCTATTCTATATCTATCTATCCACACACACACACACACACACACACACACACATATATTTATATACATATGTGTGTATGTATATATGTATATAAATATGTGTATGTATGTATGTATGGTATGTTGTGCCCACAGAAAAAAGACTTGTTTCTTAAGGCACAACATTCCAATGGTCTGAGTTAAAATTTTCTGTTATGCTTCCACAATCTCTTGCTCTTCAGGCAAGAAGATACTGTTCAAATATCCATCCAGAGCACCTTTTCCATGGCTTCCAACGTCACCTTTTCTGAAGTAATTGGCACAGTGCAAAGTCGGATCCGAGCCTGCAAAGCTCCCACCCCACCCTGCCAGTTCATCTCTAATTTGACCCAGCTCTATAGAGGTAAATACTGCAGAGTTTCTAAACCTCCCCCGAAAAAGTGTTTTGAAATAATTTTATTTACAACAAACAAGAACATTTTCTTCATAGCCATCTTTGTTGAAGTTGGAGATGTCTCAAAATGTCTAGAGCAGAGGTGTCAAACTCGCGTCGTCATGGCAAGGTCATGTGATATATCGTGACTTTTTTCGCCTTTGCTAAACCGGGCATGGACCTGGCCAGTATGTGATGCGTCCAGCCCAAGGGCCGTGAGTTTGACACCCCCGTTCTAGAGGCTGGAATGCAAGGATCAAGTCTGTTCCGACATGTGTAATTTGTCTCATTAAAAAGGCTCTATAGAAGGGAAGGCAGTTGTCATTGCACGTGAGGCTTTTCATCTCAGAGATACAACATTTGAACTTGTCCAAGTGACCTGAGCTCAGTTCTGAGGATCAAATAACGGGGAGGATACACTATAAAAAAAAAAGAGACAGCGGTTACAAAGACATTGCGATTAGTTAGATTTTTCAAGAGTGTTAATCTATTGGTGGAGATCTGCAGTCTGTTAAAGCACTACTGTAATCACACTTGTGATACTCTATGAAAAAGATTAGTCTGCTTGGCACCTCATGAAAGACACGCAGAGAAAACACACAAGTCAGAAAAACAAAACCCGAAATACCAATGTAGAAAATTGCCAAGGGAAATAGATGTAAATCCCACATCTTTAGCCTGAGTTTTTCTCATGGGATGTATATAATATCATAATAAAAGAAAGCAGAGAGGCATAACATTTCCTATCTCTAAAAAGTAACCTAGCCAGCATTGTGTGCTAAATCTCACCCAGAAATTCAGCAACTCAGGGAACTCATCCTCAGGGAAAGTGTTAATAGAGAAGAAGTTCATTTCAGTTAAACTCCTTATTTTAATGCCTATTTTGCTTGGCAGCAGAGTCAGTATATTCTTACAGTTGCTTTTATTTGGATGGGATTCTTAGTTATGTACAGTTTAAAGACAAGAGGGCACTTTGGGATATCAAAAATTCTGTGCTCCCAGCTGTGATTTTAGTTTTATTGGTATAACTCTAAAGAAAACAAGATATTTATTTATCTTGTTTTTTTTTCTTCTTTGAGAGGTAAACAAGCATAATTTTCCTTGGTCCTTTATGTTGACATCTCAGAAGGAAAACTAAGTACAAGTTGTAATTTGCAAAGCAAGAATACAGTAACGATGCTTCCCCCACCCCCGCTTTCCAAATCAAAGTTATAACGCTGTAAATGTATCCCCCACCCCTCTCTCTTTCTCTCTTTTTAGTTGGTGGTCTATGTAAACATAAAGATCCGGAATGTGACAAAGGGACTTCTGTGTGTGTAGACTTGGATGGCATTGCTGTTTGCCAATGCAAACCTGGGTATTTCAAATATAACAAACTGGATCATTCATGCAGAGGTATTGTGCTTTACACAGCTAGGTGGCTGGGACTAGTCTTTTTAATCTTTTGATTCCAGTTCAAAGGATTTTATGCAGATCAACACAATTCCTTGCCTTTCTATGCATGCTAAGGAACTCTGCTCTCTGAATAAGTATTAAGAGCTTACTGGGTTTTTCGGTCTTTTATTTGACTAGAGTGGAGATATTGGGGATATTGTCTTCTGCCCACTCTCTGTGAAGCAATAATATTATCTTTTTGCACAGCCAGAAAAATAAAAAAAAATAAAAGAGAGCAGGCCAGGGAGGAGTCCGCTACGCCTGTGATGAAAATTAAATTTTTAGTGATTACATTGTGCAGTTATTTCTGTCTTTGTTTTGTCTGATTTCCTAAGGAAGTGGAAAAAAATTAGTGGATCTTTATGCTCAGCTGTTTACGTTGTCTGAAAAGTATGCATTGTTTTCGTCCCACAAAGTGGATAATCCACAATTGGAGCCAATGCCATTTACTGAAGGTTCTATCAGAATAAGTTTCATTTGCTGCAAAACAAAATTTTACCCTCTGTGCATCTTCAGGGACATTCAATTCTGCGCCGACTGAATCATAACATAGATAAATTTTCAAATGTTATCTACATTTCAATAATGTGACCCCATTTTTTATTTGCAATTGTAGCCATAGCAATCTCTTCTATTAATCTGAATTTCGAACAAAAACAGAAAATCAGGAAAAATGCATATTTGTGAGATATTGCAATGAAATTGGATCTAATCCAGTCTGTTAGGAAAAACATTTTTATGGGCTCCATAAAAATACTTTTATGGGTTCCAAGAATACTTTGTAGAACTCATAGATTACTCACATAAACACTCACAGAAATACAATCTAAAATAAATATTCTAGATCAGTGTTACTCAAGCTTGGTGACTTTAAGATGTATGGACTCCAACTCCCAGAATTCCCTAGCCAGCCTTCATGCTGACCAGGGAATTCTGGGAGTTGGAATCCACACATCTTAAAGTTCCAAGCTTGAGAAACACAATCTAGTTTGTAGATTTTGATTGGGTATACAAATCAAGAAAAGCGAGGTTTTTATAAGTATGATTTGTTAAATAAACTATAATTGCATATTATATGAGGCTAATCTACTGTTAGATTCACAGTCTAAGACTGGTGGAAACTTAATAATTCAAGTCCTAACCCAGATTCTAAAAAAATATTGAGGTAGTGTTTAAAAATATAGGGATTCCAAGCAAGGTAGGGTTTTGTTTTGTTTGGAAAATCAGGGCGTACATGTCTGAAAAATTCAATACTTCCAGGTAGACTTTTAAGTATTGAGCCTCTGAGGCTCCAATCACAATTGATACGACAATAGATTTCATTTTCTATAAGTGTTCAACGTTGATCTGCAAGTCCCAATATTTCATATTTTTTTCCAATTTCCAATCCTCAATCCTAGCATCACCCAGTATAGCAAAATCAATGAACCAGATTTTCTTCTTTTCAGTGACTATTCTATAAGGCATGTTATGAACAAGAAGCCTGTGTGTTTGGATCTTAAATTCCCATAAGACCTTAACTCACTCATTTTCCAAAACCTTATCAACTTGGTGGTCCCAGTAGGTGTGTTACTGCATTCAGATCCAAACCTCTGGCAAAGTTTACAGTGAATAATTCTGCCAACTTGGTCATGATGCTGCGGATAGGATTTTGCAAATATCATTAAAAAGCATGAGCTTTTGTGAGCTATAGGTAGCAGAAAGGCTAGATAAAGTTATTAGTTTGAAAGGGTGCTACCAGAGTCCTCTTAACTGGTCCGTTATCATAGACCAGGGATGTCAAACTCACATAATCATGGCAGTGTCATGTGATGTATCGGGACTTTTCCCCCTTTCACTAAACCAGGAGTGGGAATGGCCAGCACGTGACACATCCGGCCCATGGGCCGAGAGTTTGACAGCCCTGTCATAGACTAATATGGGTCTCTTCCTCCTGTGGGTTGTGGTAATTTCTCCAAGGAATGACTCTACTGTATGGAGAAGCAGGAACCAATGATAATGACTCAAAGGGAATATCTTATAGGAGCCAAATGAATTTCGCCATCAGTACCAATAAAAGAGAACAATCGCTCACGGCTAAACTGAGCTTGTTTTTTTACTTGCGCACATTTTATTACCTAATTTCACCATCGGTGTTTGGAATGACCAGAAGAAAAAAGAACAATTGAAATGGAAAGCGCCTGCTTAGTCACACAGTACCGAGAATAACTGTAGCTCAGGGTTGAAATGAGGGGTCTTTGGTGCTCTTTGAGCCTGGCTGTTTTTCTTGCAGATGTTTCATTATCCAAACTAGGTAACACCATCAGTGCATTGTTAATGAAACATCTGCAAGAAAGCAACCATGCTGGGAGAGCACCAAAGCCAATATAGTCATACTGTACTTAACTGCTTCATTGGGAAATGTTGTAATAATTATCTGAGTAGATGCTGTTCTCCTCACTGATTGATTTTAATCTGCCCTAGTGCAGGATTCCAGGTTTCCTTCTCAAATGTTGGCCATTCTAATAGGTGCCTGTATCTCAGGTGACATTTTTACCATTGGAAGACTGAGCAAAGATATGAGTCGGGGCCATGTATCTATTTTATCTATATTTATTTCCTACCAGCTGCTTTTCTCCTTGCAAAGGAAAAAAATAGAGCTTTTATGTCTTCAAACCCCTTTCTCCCTCCCCTCATATGAAGTTCGGAGTTGAGCTGAACTCCTGTTGACTTGTAATGTATTTTCCTGTACTGAGTCTTCAATCACAGCCACTATGTGGAATAATACTGACCTCTACTGGTTTAAATACATTTAACTACCAACTGATGTTTATTTACATATATAAAACTTATCCTAGACAGATATTGATTTGTAAAAAAAAAAAAATCAATCCATCACCTTTTTTACCCTCTTAATAATCTTAAACAGCCCTTACATTGTATTCTCTAAGTGTCACTGTTGGGAATTAAAAGATTGACACAGTTGATTCTATGGAACCCATAAAAAAATCTGCAATTGTCTCATAGCAAATCCAATTTGAAACTGCTTTTCAGAGAAACTGTTGTACAAGATACTGCAGCTTCTTAAAAAGCAAGCCTTTATACTGTACAGCAAAAATAACCCTTGGAATCTCAACCATTATCTTTTGTTCAGCCATTGGCATTTTATTCATCAACATTCTTTTCTTGATTTTTAGCCTGCGAAGATGGGTATAAACTCGAAAATGACACTTGTGTGAGGTATGAAAAATAAGGAGCAATTTTTCTTTCTTTCTTTTCAATACACTGTGTCAATGTAGGCCTAGGTGTCCTCAGCTGCCCATGCCCATTGTGTGGAGGAACAAGGAGGTTAGGGAAGAAATGAGGTGGTTGTCTGCCACTTTGGTCTAGTTGTTAAAGGCCAGCTTAGAAGGGGGAGACTGTGAGTTCAAGTTCTGCCTTAGCCATGAAAGCCAGCTGGATGACTTTGGGCCAGTCACCCTCTCTCAGCCCAACTCACCTTAGGTTGGGGAAAATAGAAGGGGGAATGTGTATTGGATATGCTCATTACCTTGAGTTATTTGTGAAAATAATAACAGCCGGATACAAATAAATCCATTTTAAAAACTATACATGTTTGTTGCTCTTAGAGGAATGAACCAGGATCCCAAGGTGGTAACAGTTCTCAGATGAATCAGTCCATGGGAGGAGGCAGAGTGTTAGCATTAGAATTTACAAGAGAGAGGTCTTTTTTACTTCATTCATTGTGGATGATTGGATTCCTGCTGAAGAAATTGTGGGTTTATATATGAGACTAAAACTATATCTCCACTGTTTTCTTTTCAGTTGTCCATTTGGATTAGGGGGATTCAACTGCAGGAATCGTACGTATCCAGTCCAATGTTCTTACCTGTTCTATCTAGTTTTATTTGCATTTCTTAATTTTAATATTCCCTTCCATTGTAGATTATCACTGATAAGCATATAAAACCAATCAATTTAGAAAGTACTTACCTCAAAAGTATCTTAATAGATAATTTAAATATAATATACAAACATATATTTATCTATATAAAAAAATTAAATTGAATATGCATTCAAAATTTACAATTTTTCCAGGTTTGGTTACTCTTTAATATAGTATATGTTAATTCTGTCAGGATTCCGGTAGTTACCCCAATTAACCCATTTTCTATACACATTTTATAGTTGACAAATACACTTTAATATATACCATATTGTGTTCAATATATTTATAACTTTATAAAATATTCTATCTCCCTTTCTGCATTTATTTATTTGCTCATACAATTTGGATGCCACCTGACTCCAACTGACTTGGGGATGTGGATCTTTTCATTTTGTGAAAGGCTTGTGCAAATAGATTTATTTGACACAAAATTCATACCCATTTCTGATTGGAGGACTGGTGCCATCCTTTCAGTGTGGTGGAGAAAATAAGCAGATGTATAGATGCAGAATTCCTTCAAGTTGAAACAAAATGCTTTGCTGAGGGATACGGTGTTGCTCTCAAGTGTCCCACTGAGGTGGAGTCTTGCAATTACTGAGTTCACAGTTTTAAAAAAAGAAATTCAGCAGAACTCTAGAAAGATGGTAGAACATAATGTGGGATTCTAATCCAATGGCATTTCAAAATGCTTTCTTTAGTGCTCCCTAAGTTAAATGATAGCTTCAAGTATATCTTAAATTGGAGGATTCAGATAGATTAACGATTACGGTCACTCCTGGTTCGTATTCTAAAAGATTTGCTGGAGATCAGAGATTGAATGGCTGCCTTTGCAGGAGTTTTGAAATAATGTGACTCCCAAACCTTATTGCTTTACCGCAGGGGTGTCAAACTGGCATCCCACAGGCCAGATGCATCACACACAGGCCACGCCCACCCCAGCTCCACAAAGACAAAAAATGTCACGATACGTCGCACAATGTCACATGTCGTGATCCATGCCTTACAGCCTTTTGAACTAGCCAAAGTTCTGGACTGTCTTGAAGAGAAGTTTGCAAAGACAACAGTATAATAATCTAATATTTTAATTAGTCTTTATTAACATGTCCTAAAGCTTCATCAATTTGAGCATTGCCTCACAGCCAAGCTGGTTTTTGTTCAGTTCCCTCCAAGATCTGAGTTGGTTGAATCTTTCCTTCTGACATTGGATGGAGTTAAACATTCCATGACTGCAACTTAGGTCAGATGTCTATGGCAATTCTCAGTCAACCAGGTCATGCTTGTCCCAAAGGTGCTTTTTCCAGAGGCAACTGGACTTTCTGGTTTTTCTTTGAAGATGTTTTGCTTCTCATCCAAGAAGCTTCTTCAAGCTCCTTCTCATCCAAGAGCTGAATAAGCCTTTTTGATGAAAAGCGAAACATCTTCAAAAAAAAACCAGAAAGTCCAGTTACCTGTTGAAAAAGCACCTTTGAGACAACATAGGTCAGGCTTTCCAGCTAAGGGACTTTTTGCAGAGAACAGGAAACTGGTAGCCACTTTACTGCTAGTCATTCTAGGAAAAAAAAAATCAATGGTGCTTAAAATGGCCTGTTCTTTGTTTTAGCATACCAGCTTATCACCATTGTGATTGCCGCAGCTGGAGGAGGACTTCTGCTTATCATGGGAATAGCTCTCATAGTCACATGCTGCCAGTAAGTACCATAAATGTCTCATCCTTTGACATTTTTAAACTATTTAAATAACATTAATGAGCCATAAAAGCAGTTTTTAATTTTTGAAAAGATTCCTATGGATTATATCTTTATTGATCAATTTGTTTTGCCTGCTTAAACAATAGTTAGCTTTGCAAACATCAGGAAGGTCCAAGCTGACAGAAGACAGTTTCAGCCATGTTGTGAAGCTTGTGCAGGCGATAACAAGCAGGTGTTCAAATACTGAATAGAGGAAATTATTTTTTTGAGATTATTTATTTCACGTTGTTAAAGAAGAGAGTTTGATATTCTTGTTTTCCTGCCTTCTGTCCGAACGATGTATTTATATGCTAGCCACAATTCCATGATTGGTAGAGTAGGCTAAGAGAAAATAATCATTCATAATCCTCTAGCATAGTACTTAGCCTTATATACTGCTTCGCAGTGCTTTTATAGCCCACCCTAAGCGATTTACAGAGTAGCATATTGGCCTCAACAATCTGGGTCCTCATTTTACCCACTTCAGAAGGATGGAAGGCTGAATCAACCATGAGCCAGTCAGGATAGAACTACTGGCAGTCAGCAGAGTCAGCCTGCAATACTGCATTCTAAACACTGTGCCTCCACAGCTCTACCAATGTATGTTTAAGTTGGCACGTTTTTCACTTCACACTATTTAGCCTGCAGATAAATGTATTTTTCTTTTCAGAAAGAATAAAAATGATATAAGCAAACTCATCTTCAAAAGCGGTGACTTCCAAATGTCACCATATGCAGAATATCCCAAAAACCCTCGTGTTCAGGACTGGAGCAGAGAAACCATTGAAATGCAAGAGAACGGGAGTACTAAAAACCTATTACAGATGACGGACGTTTACTATATGGTATATTTTCCTACATTGAATGAATGTCTAGGAAAGATAGGCACTTTGCAATCATTCAGAGATGCGTAAGAATAAAAAAGCAGGATTCTCTTATCAATTGTTTAACACAAAATGAAAATACAGCAAACAGTCCCTGAGCAATGAATAAAATGAAGGTTATGAGATTGTTCATATTACAGTATTTCATAACTCCCTTGGATTGGTGGCTATGATAACTTCTTCAATAATGTTCAAATATAGGTTGTCCTCGACTTAACAACCATTCATTTAGTGTCCATTCGAAGTTACAACAGAACTGAACAAAGTGACTTTTGAGTGGTATTCCCCCTTAAGACTGGTGCAACTTCCCCATGGTCATGTGATCAACATTTGGGTGCTATGACAGTTGCGCTATGCCAGGGGTCATGTGATCACCATGTATAAACTTCCCAGCCGACTTCTGATAAGCAAAATCAATGGGGGAAGCCAGGCTCACTTAATGATTGCATGACTCACTTAGCAACTGGAATGATTCGCTTAACAACTGTGGCAAAGAAAAAAAGTCATACAATGGGGCAAAACTCACCGGCCTTGCTCAGCAATGGAAATTTTAGTCTCAATGAAGGTCGTAAGTCAAGGACTACCTGTATTGCAGGCTGTAGGAACCCACTGCTTCTGTCTAAAATCTATTAGAATTCAATTCTTTATAGGAAAATACTCGAAGGAAATACTTATTTTAAAATACTTTGTTGAAAGTATTATAAAATACTTTTAAATGAGTTGCGAAGTTGTTGATAATTGATTGGGAATGTATTTCTTTTGCGTTATTGAATTCCCAAAGGTGTTTAACTAAGTTAGATAATAAAAGAATACTATCGTATTGATTTCATATGCATGGATTTATCTTGTTTCTTTAACCACTTTATCCTCTTTTGTTTTGGACACTATGATGTTTTCCTCTTACTGTATTTTAATATTTAAATCCTATGGGATTGGAATGCAATCTTCATTATTATTGAATGGCTTCCAATAGAAGAATGGTGAAGAGGTATAATCCCCTCTGTTTCTAGCAGTACGTGAAGCTGAAAGTTAAGGAAAGGCTTGGGGAGAAAAGTGCCTGCCAGAGAAACTCCCATTTGTGCAATATTTAGCTCTGTCCATGTAAAAAACTGGCAAGTGTTGAATTATTCTTTCCTTCTTTTCTGTGTAAATCTCTCTCCTTTAGCCAACTAATCTAAGGAATCCTGAACTAGAAAGAAATGGAATCTATCCGCCTTACACAGGTCTTCCGGGATCTCGACACTCCTGTATATACCCTGGACAATACAACCCATCCTTCATTAGCGATGATAGCAGAAGAAGAGATTATTTTTAATGCAGGTGAAAAAAGGCAGCTGGGTGACAAATGGGACCTTTGTATGCAGCGTGTTCCCGAGTATGCAGTCATCAGACAACAACTCAGTCACAACTGTGTACAGAAGGGGACTTTGAACCTGTGGAAAACCTCAGAAGGAGCTGCGCACAAGGAGCCATCTCCAGCTCTTGCTGAGCAGCAGCGAAAAGAAGACAGGTGTGGAAAGCAAGTTCCATACGCCTGGTTGTTGGAAAGACAAGAAAGAAGCTCATTCTGCATATTTTTCTCACCACTAACTGTGTCACATAATGTGAACGTAATAATAGATCGTGAAAGCAAAACTAACAAAACACTGTGGATGACACGCTAAATCTGATGCCATTAGGGTGTGTTGTGTTTACAGATAGTATCTAGTGTGCCAGGTTTGTGTTGCCCACTTTTTGTTTATGCAAAGCTGGCTTGAATGAATGTTATGGAACGAACCCTTGCTCTGTTGCCAGGTGTCCACTAGGAGGTACTCACAGCATGTTGCTCACCGAGTGGTGGAGATGGGTACGGGAACATGGCCTAGCAATATGGGATCCTATGCAGAATCCAAGGTGGGGTTTTATCCCTCTCCAAAAAGGAAAAAAAAAGTGATTCCCCCATGATCTGTCCTGTTGTTTAGTTATGGCCTAGGTAGTAGTGATACTTGACTCTTTGCCCTTATTCCAGGGGTCTGCAACCTGCAGCTCTGGAGCCACATGCAGCTCTTTCAGCCCTCTGCTGAAGCTCCCTATCGGCTGATCCCATCACTGGCTGGCCCCTCCCCTCCCCATTACTTCTCGCCTGGCCTGAGAAGGTAAGGGTGAGGGCGGGAGATGGAGACTTGCTCCATATTCCAGAGCAGGAGTTGACTGGGTGGAAGTGAGTGATATCGAGTTGGCCACGCCCACCCAGTCACACCGGTGGTTAAATTATTGGCTCCCGGTGTTTTCTTTTGTGGGGGAAACAGGTCCAAATGGCTCTTTGAGTGTTTAAGGTTACAGACCCCTGCCTTATTCATTTTTTTCCTATGTGCTTCAGACCAGATGCAAAAAAGTTACGTTTAGTTATGTTCTGCGGATTTTTTTTCCTCCTTTCTGTTTAAAGGTATTGAGGGTATAAGTCTGTCTATGGAGATTCTAAATTATCCAGGTCATAGTTGTCCCAAAGGTGCTTTTTCCAAAAGGCAACTGGACTTCCTTGGTTTTTTCTTTGAAAACCTTTCACTTCTCATCCACGAAGCTCTCTTCCATTCTAACTGAAGAAGTTCTAACTTCAGTTAGAACTGAAGAAGCTTCTTGGATCAGAAGCGAAATGTTTTCAAAGAAAAAAAACCAAGAAAGTCCAGTTGCTTTTTAGAAAAAAGCATTTTTGGGATGAGGGTATAGGTCAACTGCATGTAATCCAATCTTCTCTAATCGATTACATTGTCCAGATTCTGGTGAAGGTTTTCCAGTTATGCAAAGTTGCTCCTACATCATTTGACAATAGTAAATGCACAACATGTGCAAGCAGAAATAAGGCAAGGCAGCTTACTCTCATACTCTGTATTACTTAATTGGTCATAGACTTCTTTGTAACATTTCCTTATTTATTTATTTAAAAAAAAGCTTTGGGGAACGTAGCTATTTGTTCTAAATAAGTGCTATTCTGAAAAGTGACCTTTGTCAAGGTGTGGCAAGTTGATAGGAATGTTTGAGTGGAATTTGAGCTTAATCATGAAAGTTCAGGAATGGCGAAGGACCGAATGTGTAGATTATTCATTGGTATTAGAAGAGTACAGAATGTGAGCAAATGGAACCGAAGACCATGTGATCAGTTCAATCTTGGTCCTTCAGAGTCACAGTGCAGCAGACTGTGCTTACCTTGTACAGTAGTTCCCTATCTGCAGGGGTGGGTTTCTACCGGTTCTGTCCACCTCTGTAGAACCGGTAGCTTTGAAGAGCAGTAGACATAGAACCGGTACTAGGTCTGCTGATGTTTTTGCCCACCCACCCACCCGGGCTCTTACCTGATCTTTATTTCCTGGTTTTTCAACTTCAGCTGCCGAACGAGGCACAGCTGCAGTTAAAAAAACAAGAAAAGAGGGCTGTTTCAAAGGCTGCTGATGACGATTAACAGGCGCGCAGCTCACAGCAGGCAGGGAAGCTCGTAAATCCCGAACTGGTAGTTAACCCTGTCGTATCCCACCCCTGCCTATCTGAAACACTGCACAAAATGGTACACAATGATATGCAATGATGCAGAAGAAAACATGCATGATAGAGGCTGCCACATCCAGTTTGCCTCCAGGATTGGCTATTCAAAATAGAATAAACTCTGAAGTGCCTGGAACTATCCTCTATGGTTATACCTAATTCTTTAATCAGAGGAACAGACAGTTGAGCAGTGCTGATATTTTGGGGTGTACTATGGCACCCACAAAATAACAAGTGCCTAGTAATAAAATACTCATTTAGACAAAAGGCAAGGCAATGAGGTACATCCGTTCACCAATTTGTTTATTAAGAATGCCTCTGGCATCTGACACATTGTCAGAAATATAGGTTTTGCAGAGTGCTACTTTGCTTTAGAGCAGACTAGCTTTACAGTCATTGTTTCAAACTCAAATCCAGAAGGAAAAAAAAATAGGGAAGAAAGCTTACTGGGCATCAAAATGTACAATGTCGTTTCTGGCCATAATGTTGGAAATCCAGAAAATATAACAATTATCCAAGGTATTTCTGGGGAAATTGATCCTTTCAAGAGGCTAAGATAAAACTAAAGCAGCCACATCTGTGCTTCTAAACATATATTGGCCCTCTTCTATTTATAGACTAAGCAGGTTCTAATGATGGGAAAGGTGGAAGGAAAGAGAAGAGGGCAACCTATAGCAAGGTAGATGGAGTCAGTAATGGAAGTACTGGAAGTACTGGAAGACTTGAAGGACTAAGTTAGGGACAGTTCATCTTGGAGAAATTCTAATCTACAAGGTCACTAAGGATTAGCACTGACTTGATAGCATCTATGCAATCAGTGAATGAAGTAGTTTTTCCCCAACCTATGCAGAGACTATAATAGAAGGTTATTTTCTTAAAACACCTGGAACACACCAGGTTGGGAAAAACTGTACTGAGCAGTCTCTTCCATTTTGTTTCAGTCTGTAACTTCTCCATTTATGAAATGATGTAGGAACAATGTGATAACAGATGTTAACGGTATTTAACTACTCTGCTGTTCAGATTGCTGCCTTCTATATTGGGATTTCCTGGGTGATGAACGTAAGACTGTAGAAAGCCCTCCATTATGTGAAGATTTTCCTCCCAAAGCTGATTGGACTAGAAGACCTCCAAGGTCCCTTCCAACACTGTTATTCTGATCCTGCTTGATAGGGAGTATAAATGAGGAAGTATAAATGTGAACTCCTGGACCCAACACAAAATAACTTGGGGCCGAAGGATTGGGGTGGGGAGCTTCCAGCATGCAGTCAAATTGTATTTGTGCGGCATCAAGATTGCACATATACACCCAAAGAGACGGTCAGTACTGCCTGCCATGAGCTAGCAACACTGCCCTTACTAACCATCTATTTAATAGATGCACAAACAACACAGCGGGTCAAAATGTCTCAAGTAGGCCTTTGTTTATAGACAGCAAAAAAACCAGCTGTGGTTTATGTTCACTTTCCAAGAAATGTATTATTCCCTTACTTTAAACAACTGAACTGTTTCTTACACCATCAATTTAAACCACAAGTTTAAACAAAATATCTAATTCCTTAATTTAATCCTATCAATTATATCCCTCAGCCTATTGAGTGAATCCTGCCGTTAGATATCCTGGAGAATGAGGTTTTGTACTAGATTGGACAGATTTCATATAGTCAATTCTTAAAATTTTGGCCAACCATCATTCTCAATATTTCCTTGGGGGCAACCATCACAATTTCTTAACTTGTCATAAATAGGCACACATTTCCACAGCAGATGTATTCAGATGATAACAGTGAAAGCTCTGTGGAGTTTAATTTTGTTGCCAAGCAACAAAAAAACACCCCTTCCCTGCATAAAAGGGAGCCAAAGTAGTTATTAATTTATTTAGATGAAATAATTGGATCTTTCCAGGTGATTATCTTGAATCATCATTGTTTAATATCAGCATGCTGAAACTGATATTTTAAAAATCTTAATTGGGTTTTTATTTATTTACTTTTTACAAAGGGCAAGCTTGACTATTTTGAGAAAATATTTAAGGTTATGAATATATGTACTTACGTGAAATAATTTCTACCAGACCAAACATTCCCACCCACCCACCCCCCGGAGGCCTGCCTTCCTATGATAACATAAATATCTATAAGTATGAGCACATTAATTCAGGGGTGATCAACTATGCTGACCTTCCTTATTTCAGTTGCATTAAAAACTGCCTAGTCTTGCTTTTCTTTGTGAAATATATAAATTAGATATTTTTGCAAGAAAATAATAAGCACTGATTTCTATGAAATTAGTTTGCTTCACAGAAAGTTCTCCAGAGAAGCATGTAATATCTTATATCATTTGTTAAAATTTTAACTTGCGAGTATGTGAAAAGTTTGAACCTAATGTTAATTTTACATGAAATCTTCTATGTCTTTTTGTTTTGTTATAAAATTTACATTTGTCATTTTTATTAGGCCATGCTCAAAGCTGCATATGATGCCGTCAAAGATAAATTATGCCTTGTGTTTTTCTCCATGATGACTCTGAATTACTGACCATCAATGAGTTGTAATTATTGTATTGTACATTGTTCAACTTTGCATATTTGTGAACATATCTTCTGATTTGTTTTGGTTATTTTAATTTTCCCACACTGTTATTTAAAACCGTATCTTATTTGCAATCTTCACTAATTATACAGTAATGTAGTTTCTAAAGTATAATTTCTAAAAATTGGATTATTTTTATACCAGCATCCAACTTATCTGAACTCTGGCGTTCTAGTCAGTATGTTTAAAAAAAGGCTACAATAAAAGTATTAATAATATTCTCAACGTGCATTTTTATTGGAACAATTGGTGTTAATCAAAGCTATGCTTCCATATAGAAGATTTACTTAATTCTTCCTGTAGACATATAATTATGGCCATGGATCATCGTGTATAAAAGTAACATTAATTCTGGAATCCTGGGACAGTTGAGAAATCTTAGCAGATACATTGAGATGTGTGCATTTATTGAATTTGTACACAATGGCCTTCATTTGATTTTGAAAAAGAGTATAAAGGCAGCATGAAGCAGACTTTCCTGGGAGTTGTTCAATAACTGGAATATCTGTGGAGATTCTCAATTGTCCCAAAGATGCTTTTTCAAGAGGCAACTGGAGTTTCTGGTTTTTCTTTGAAGACGTTTCGTTTCTCATCCAAGAAACTTCTTCAGCTCAGGTCTTCAAAGAAAGAAAAGAAAGAAAAACCAGAAAGTCCAGTTGCCTCTTGAAAAAGCACCTTTGGGACAATAACTGGAATATCATTACCATAAAGATTTTCTCCTAAGCAGTAACCTTACTGATGGGGGCAAAGCAAAGTATTGGAGGCTCTTCTCAAGAATATATAGAATGTGTATATGGAAGAAGGTAGCTTATGATGTAACCTTGTCCCAAGTTGTTTAATATTTAAAAGAAGGAGTGGGCTGGCAAGCCAATTATGCAAACCAGTTTACCAAGGA